TTTGATATTGCGATGACAAATTTAATTCAGTGCCCAATCTGAACATTTTGACATTTTGAATTGGAGGCGGAAGCAGAACAAATAATCCCTAATTGCAGATTTTCCTAAATAGACAATCCAGAAAAATTGGACTTCTTTAAAAGCTGTTGGAGTGGCTGTAACTCTTTAAGGCTCATCTGGAACGCTTCCTCTCACCCAGATGGTGTCCTTTCCAAACGGCATGGAGTGGGCGTCCATATTAATTCCCTTAATCCATCCCAAAGCATGTTTTATAACGTCTCTCTCTCCCGCTGACTAACGTGGATTTGTTTACCCCGTTTCAACAGTAGCCTCGTGACCCACTGAGCACTTTGCATAAATATTCCCCACATCATTTCAGATGGAATAATCGATCTGAATCACAGTAAAAGAGAAAAAAATATAATAATCTGATCTTTTCATCATTCACTCAGCTCATCATCTCCTAAACAGACTGCGTCACCACTGCGTGATCTCACTGCACATCACTTCTGAAACCAATCAAACATGATCCACCAGAAGCAAGAGGGCTTTTGTTTACACTGTCACCACTGCAAGTGATTCCCCCAATTTTTTATTTTGGTACAATTTGTACCCAAACCTCTCACAGTCGGCCAACAGCTCAACAGGCTTCCAACCTAAAAAGTGTCATCATTTGCAGGATGAGGTGAGTCATCATCACACAGAAAATATGGCCTCAAATGTGTTTACACGACGCCCTTTGTTTACCACTCCACACTTAACCCTTTCACAGAGTGTCATGTCGTCTTTGTATAAACCTGATTACTTTTACAATAAATATCTCGATTAAAAAAAAGTGACTTTTTTTGGGCGGGGGGTCTAAGAAGATTTTTGTTCTGTTTCGTCAGACACTCCCACAGAGATTGTTTTTCTTGGGCTCAGGGACGCATTAAGAAAAAAGAAAAAATGCGACGGGACTAGAACAACTTCAGCCTCGACGGAGATACTGCAAAGCAGAAAACCTTTCAAGAATATGATCGTTATTACGATTAAAACCCCGTTTTTGAACTTGTAAACATCTCGTTTCTTCGAGTCACGAGTAGTTTCACTTTCACTTAAAATGACGTACTGACATGCTACTTTGATTTTCTTATTCATATTGAGAAAATGACCTGAAACGCCTACCGGAATGTTTCAAGCGGATGTTGTTGTTTTTTCGCCCCCGTCAGCTGATGATGCACAAAAGGGGCTTGTTGCTGCTGCTTCTGCTGCTGATGCTGAGGATGCTGATGCTGCTGCTGCTGTCGGTGCCAGCCTCGGCTCTGCCGGAAGGATGCAGACTGGAGGGGGAGCTGAGCGCTTCTTGCAAACTGTCGACACAAACAGACTGGGCGGGAATCGGGAGCTCTTATGATGATGATGATGATGATGATGATGATGATGAGCGCTCAGTGCGCCTGCCTGTGTTACATAACAGCTGTTACTTAACCAGCGAAATGGGGCGTTAAAGGAGGGGAAACTCAGCGCGACATGACAGGCCAAATGGAAATGTCTCAGATGAGTCGTTTTACATTTTTAACTATAGATTTCTCAACGGGTTTCCTCTCGAAAAAGTAGGATCTTTGCTCGAAGCTGCGCATGTGCGGGAGAGTTGTGAGGGGGGAGCAGTGTGTGTGTGTGTGTGTGTGTGGGGGGGGTTGTTCAAAGAAATGATCGCAGTGACGCTGAACTGATTGTTCTAACGTCTGAATGGCGTTTTGACAAACTAACGTTACAGCATCGAAACTAATATCCGCACAAAGCGTTTTAGGCTTTGTCGTGTTGAGCACAGACAGGTCAGGTGAGGTGTGTTCTCTCCATGGTGCTGAAGATGATTGAGCGCCTCAAGTTCAGCCATCTTAGCAGGAACACCGTGTTTGTTTGTTTTTTTGTTTTTGTTTTGTTTGTTTTTTTAATGACCGACTGAAACATTTTTACCAGCGTTTTTTCTTCTAACAGTGAGACTCATCTCACTGTTAGGAATTACAGTGTTAGTGTGTCTCGACCTCGCTCTTGCATTGCGGGGTACAAGGAGTCAAAGACAGAAATAAGCAGCCATCTACACACACACAGTCGTGTTTTCATGACTTGTGGGGACTTTACATCGACTTCTATTCATTTTCTATAGCCTGACCATTGCCATAATCCTAATCCTAACCCTATCTGTCATAGACCTAACCCCTAACCTAAAAACAGCATTTCCCCTCATAGGGATCAAGAAAATGTCCCCACATGGAGCAATGGTCCCCACAACCCCACATTGTAGACAGTATAGGTCCCCATAAGAATATAAAAACCTGGTACACGCTCGCACACACAAACAGGATAGTTGTGAACACACTTATTCTAGAGCTGTCCTGCAGAACTAACATTTTAAGAGGTTATGGAAACCTGAATCAGTTTCTCACACTGAGTCTGCAAATGTTGTGCTCCAAAAGAACACAGATCTTGTCTACTTTATTTATTTACTTGCAGCAATAGTTACCTGTATGTGACAATAAGCTGAAAAAGCAGAAAGATTTTATAAGCATGGGGATTTATATGCATCATGGCTTGTTTGTCTCACTGAAATGTTTCTGTTAGGATCTGTGGGTGTTTGACCTCTGGATGTCTGTTTTTTTATTCAAGATTTTTTTTTTCCCTTAGTGGCCTTTAATGAACAGTAAATAAACAAGAAAATTTTAAATGTGCTGTAGTATAACACCATTAACCCCACTCAATGTTTGTAAGGCACTACAGCTACTTCTAAGTAAAAAAAACCTTCTGATTCTTGTGTTGTTCAGTTCCTGATCCACGATAATATAAGTGTGGCTGACCTCATCATATTTAGGAAGTAGTTATTATTTTTTTCATGAAGCTGTTCCACAACTTGACTGCTTGCACTGTCAGCAAATTCAAAGTCAAGTGATATGTTTCACGTTCTTTCACAGGCATTTTGTTGTTGTCCATTTATCATACAGCTTATAGTGCTCAGATGAACATACAGGCTGTCAGTTTTGGTCTGTGTTGTGTCTCTTCTCTTTTAATCAATGTAAATGGGTCAATATTTTCTTTTGTGCTTTCTTCAACTTTTGTTGCACAGGCTCTGCTAGTCGCCCTTCATTTGGTGCAAAAGAAGCAGGATCTGGCTGTCTCAAATCTGCATGGCTCGACAAATTCCTAGTAAAGCCATAGATGCAAATACTGGGGACGTGTTTCCATGACAGCAGAATATCTGTTAATGTTGCTCTGCTCTTCGTGTCTTATTGCAGGTATAAAACCAGGTCTATTTTTTGACCCCACTGTCCTCGCCACAGGCCATGCAAAGATTTTATTTTCCAACATAAGATACATAACTGCAGAATTATGGAGGACCAAAACTGACATAATAAGAAATAATATTTAGTTTTTCCTTTTACTTACACGGTTTCCGTCAAGTAATGTATATATTTTCTTTTTTATTTCCCCTAAACATACATTTTTGTCAAGAAAAATAGGTATTTTGCTCTGTCTGTTTGTTTTTTTTGTTTGTTTTGTTTTGCTTCTCCCTTTTCTGCTTGCTGTATTTCTGCTTGCTGTTTTTCTATTTGCTATTTTTCTGCTGCATCGTTATGTTAATGAGGAGAGCTGCCTTCTATGCGTACTATCGGCCACTAGAGCTTTGGAACCAAAGTCACTGCGTCAGACGTTGTGAGGGTCGGGGGAAGGGGGAGGGGGGCTTAGGTGCAGCCGCTCGGTGCCATATTTGCAGGCCACAGACCAAAACAAACTTTATCCCGGTGGTTTTATTGTTACCGGCTGCAGTGAAGTGAACCTCCGAGCGCTTGAGGAGGGAGCTAGAGAAATGCTGGCCGAAATTAGCGTTCATAAATCGTATCAACCTTGAGCTATGCGCCGCTTGCTCGGCGGATATTGGAAAATCCAATATCCAACTCGAAACTAACTTCACTGCAGTAGTAGACATAGAAGACAGCTCTCCTCATTAACATAACGTTGCAGCAGAAAAACAGCAAACTGAAAAACAGCAAGCAGAAATACAGCGAGCAGAAAAGGGAGAAGCAAAAAAAGAAAAAGCAAAATATCTATTTTTCTTGACGAAAATGCATGTTTAGGGGAAATATAAAAGAAAATAAGAAAATGCCGCGTCTTCCATGACAGTATGGCCCGACCACAAGTGAAAAGGTGAGGAACGCGTTTAGCAACATCTTCATGGACCCAGCAAGCTGGAGCAATTTTTCTGAGTCCGATTACCGCCTTCTCCTTCGTCAATACAAGCATCAACCGACCACATTAGAAATAGTTTTGGAACTCTATGACTCCAGAAAAAAACAATCCACCACACCTCCAGCAACAGCTCCAGTCACGTCTCAAGCCGGAGTTTCTGCCACGCTTCAAGTCGCCGCTGCAGCGTTCGCTGTCTCCGAGACCAGCACCATCAGTTGAAGCCGCTGCGGCCTCTCCGTCGTTCCCGGAACCAGCCACCGGTGCAGGTGTAACCCCTTACTAAATGTAAGCCTTTTCATAAAAATAGCTATAAAATAGATAAATAGGAAATTAAAAAAAATTAAAAATAAATAGTAGAATAAATAAAGAATAAATAGGTCTTAAAATAGTTTAAAAATAATTTAAAAAATAATTACAGACATCATAAATGTCTGTAATTTTCATGTTATGACATTTTATTTGGTTAAAAATCTGCATAAAACAGAGTTTTATTTTGTCAGCAGCTAAAACGGTCAAGTGTGAGATTAATCTCTTATTCTGAAGGGTCACATTGATATGTAGCCCATGTGACTAGCTCCAGCCAACCGATTTGCTATGTTCTCTGGCGCCAGAAGAAGAAGCAGAGAGCGCGAAGAAGCAAAGCGAGTTGTGCTGTGAACGAGAGAAAGATATGAGAAAATCGACGATTAAGTCTACCTGCTGTCTAAAAACATTTTTTCCATTTTTGGAGAAGGGGCTTTCCGCATTTTTTTAAACCTGACTGCGTTCGGGAGTGTTATATGTTACAGAACTAGACTTGGTGAGTTAAAAAGTGTATTTTATTTTCTGAGAAGAACGTATTTGTAAAGTATTTTTATTTCGTTGAAACGGAAAGCTAAAGTAGCGCATTTATGTTTTATGTTCAAAAACTGTGGAAGTAACGGATGAGCTGAGGTGGGTGAAGCATGTTCCCCCCACCCACACACGATGTTCAACCGCCAAATCTGCGAGTATACTACTCTATTCAGTACCAAGCAGAGTTAAATGAACTTTTGTTATGCTTTGTTCGTTATTAAACCAGGCCTTTTTAAGGTTCTTCTGGAAATTGGACCGGGAAATTCCGAGTC